GTTCATGGTAATTAAAAAAAAAATTAAAAAAAATTACGAGCATATAAGCCAAGTTCTTTATAAAATTAACCACCTAGATATTTCGTTTGAATCTACGACTGGTTTTGTGCATGTGTTTATCTTCAAAAGTAATTATACAAAGTTGATTATCAGTATTTATTTCATATCCTATACTTCAAATGTATGTTTCACATTTTCGTTTTTATTGCTTAATGTATTTAACCAAAAATGCAACGTAAATTTTATTTATATATATTAAATCCATTATACTTATGAGTAGGCGTAAGTATAGCAATAATTTGTAAATAAAGGTAGACCTTTTTAAACAAAAGATATCGAACATTTCATTTGCATTTGCAGTTATAAATAAAATAATAATTAACACTATACAACCTTATCAACTTTTTTCATTGGTATGTGATTTTTATACGTTTCCTATATAAGGATAGTTGGAATTTATAGTTAATGAAAAACAAACGGCTATTGAATTTTGAGCGATTGCAATAGTTGATACCTAGTTTATGATTTGGCAAACTCATCGATTGCTCATGCCGATTGACAATTATCATGCCATGATGGGTGCCGATTGTCAGATCTAAACGTGCGGCGGAATGAAACGAGACGCAGACGAGAAGGTGTAGTTTACCGTTGTAATAGCGGTATTATGGCTGTTATAATATGAGAAGACGTAAAAGTGTGTCCAAAAAATTGGGCCACGTATTAGCGTGTACACAACACGTAAAGTACTACAGTATAATAACCTGTGTTTAAATTCAGTACAGGTGACAAAACTATTTCCATGAGACATAATAAAATAAGTGTTGTGCTTTATCGAGAATATTATAACATTTTATATGTGTCATCAATAATATATTAACGCACGCTTTTATTGATGTGCTCATTTTCGATTCCAAGATGAACATTTTGAGCAACAGTTCCTGGATACAAATTGTTTAATGTTTTCTTTATCCGTACGATTATCATTTGATTATTTTTAATTCGTTGTTCAACGTGGCAGCTTTAATAAATTCATAGGCCCAAAAAACAGGTTTTCATACATTTAATGCACACTATATACAAACATATATATACAGATATGTGTGTATTGGTTTGGTATGTGCCAGAAATCGCGATGAAATACCTATTGCCATAATAGTGTTCGCTGCTTAAATCGATGGGTCACATATTTCTGAATACGCCATCCACTTTAGAAGTTATAATAGGGTCATAGCTTTCCACTTCTTGGAGTAAATGTAAATAAGAAATGAATAGGTATTGTAAATAAAAGTTACGAAAATTAAAGTATTTATATAAACATTTGTCATGGGTCATGTTAAAATTATTTTCCCTACTTATCATAATGGTATATCGATGTAACAATTATAACAATTATTATATTGTAATAAAATTATATAGATAATTGCAAAATCTTATTTATACAAGTTAATAGATTTTGTTTCATTAATATATTGTATTATTTTAACTGAAGTATTATAGACATTGTTTTTTATGCATATAAATGTATAGAATATACATTTTAAAAAACTTAGTTATTTTTATGTGCATCAGGAAACGTTCTCTTATTAATTATAAAATGTTAATCCTAGTTATATTTCAGTTTTAATGATACATTTTAAGTTATATAGTATGCGTCATATAACTTCTAGAAAAATTTAGCATAAATATAATACTAATATAATACAATAATTTAACATACTAATACTTATATCTGTAATAGTTTTCAATTATAAACAATGTTGTAACATTTTTACGGTTTTGTAATTTGTTAAATTAATACTGATGTTACGTGTGATCTAGCAAATTTACGTAATCTACTAAAAAGAAAAATATATGAGTAACAATTATAATACCCACAATTTTTAAATCGTTAATATTTCCTGAATTGACAATCAGATAAAGCATTTTAGCATTTGTTTTTTATGACTTAATTATTAATATTAACATTCTACTATTCAAAACGTTTAATTTCTGGCCATATTATAATAATATGTTTTCATTATTACATATTATAGTAAATTATTGTTATTTTGCTATCTTGGATTTTTCATTATTTTGAATTACATTGAAAGTTCCTAGACACTACTATTACATTCAATAGCGTTTTCCTCTCGATGATTCCATATGAAATGAATTGTTTTTCCATATATCGAGTATAAAAATATTATATATTATTTTTAATTACGGTAAGAATATAAAAATATGTATATAAAAAAAAAAGTGTATTGAATATAATGATAGTAATTGTGTGTGTTTGTAGTCGTTCATACAATTTAGTAAACGTAAAATATGCAAAAATTAAATGTCCTTCCAATTTCGGACAAAGTTGGTTTATACAGTTAGTTTAGGAAGGTGACCGTAAAAAATGAGAAATTACCAATGTGTTCGATATCCCACTAAGTACAATATTGTTAATTATTAAACAGAAAAATAAAATGTTTAAGTTAGATTGTGAAAATATGAAAAAATGAGGATGACTCCTCATGAACATCGATAAATGTTTGTTAAAATAAAAGACTCAGTGTCAAGTTAGAAACATACCATAAAATATAATGGTTTTACTTAAAAAAACAAAAGAATATATATAACAAACATGACACACTAATTTTAAAGCTAGTAGTTAGTTTGCTTAAAAATTAGAAGAAAAGACATGATGTAAATTTGTGTAGAAAAGTTTGTGGAAAAAGTACTTTAGTAAATACAAATTTTCAAATAATCAATCAATCAAATTGTATTAAAAATCCACTTGATATTTTAGTATGATTTTCTCTTTATGATATTTTTAATTTTTATGAAATGGATTTATTTTTCAAATGCATACAAGATAAAAATTTAATGTCAAAAAGTAAAGAAATATTCGGATGGAAAATATAGTAAAGAGCGCATTATGGTTAGAAGTAGCAAATAAGTCTTGAATTGAAAATTAAAATGATTTTATACATATATAAATAAACAATGTTTAAAAATTAAAATGTAATGCCGATTATCATAATTTAGACGATAGAAATTTTTCACATTCTGTAAAAATGGATAACAATATATATGTGCATGGAACATGGATAGATCACGAAATTTTATTAGAAACCATTGAAAATCCTAACGAAAATGAAGATAAACCTCAAAACGAAGAAGAAATTACTGTATTTACAATTTAACAAACTACACACCCTTTACAAATATTTAGACGTTTTTTTTCTTCATAGTTCATTTAAAAGCAGAAGTAATAAAAATAAACTTTAATGACATTTTTTTTTTTTATATAATATTGTACTGATCAAATGTTATAGTAAATAGTTGTATTTTATGTATTAAATAATTAAGTATAACTATTTTATTATTAAATTTTAATAAACTTCAATAACACGACATTTTTTCTTTTCCCCTTAGATTTGACATAACGAGATTTACTTTATTAGTTAATATATATTTTTTTTAAGAAAAAGTGTGTTATTATTTTAGTTGTAACATTAAGGATGGCATATAGTAGGTAAAGATTAAAAATAATAAAATTATTTTTAAAAAATCACGTAAAATATTATTTTAACATTAAAATAATTTACTAAATTTAAATATTTTCAAAACTTAATTTCTAAAATTTATTTGTCAATTCTTATGAATTAATTTGAATTTGAAATCTTATAATAGTTTTAATAAGATCTAGAGATTCCAAAAAGATAACTACTAATATAAAAAATAAATTAACATTTATGTAATACATGCGTAAACGTGTACTGGTATTTACGGAATTTGTTTTGAGAAATTCAAACATTTATTTTCATTTAGAAATGTAGTTTTCAAAGTTATTTACTTTTATTTAAAATAAAATATGAATTTTAAGTACAAACATAAAAGACATACCTATTTGTCAAACATTGACTTTATTTATAATTCAGCAGTAGTTAGACATTTCAGAATGATTTATTTTCTGTTCATTTTAAGTACATATTATAAGTCAATATAAATATAGTGAAATTTTTATGGGATTTTGCATGTTATAATTAATAGTACTTGTATCTACTTTACGAGATTATTTAATATTAAAGGATTTAGTAATTTTGTTTTTTTTTAATCGGTATTTTGTTGTTATCGTGGATTACATATACCAATTCTATACGCCTCTAAAATATTTTGAAGCATCAGCGGTATGCTATTGTTAAAAATAAATTCCATATTTTTTACCCATGAAAATATACTTTTTCACGGGGCATTAAATTTGCGAGCATAATTTAACACTTTGTATGAATCTAACCGACGACAATCATGATAGTATTTTTTATGATCTTGACCAACGGTACCTATTACTATTTTACTAAAAAATAAAATCTTTTTTTTTTTTGTCAACATTAACTTTGAGTCTACAGAAATACAATCTCATAATTTGTATTATTAGATTTTTCTGTATTTACGAATACACATTATATTTATGATATATTCTACATTAAGCTGTTATAGTTATTTCCATTTTTAATAAAATACACTGTTACCAATATTAAGATTTTTACCAACTATTTAAAGATCATTTTTGGAGGTATCTTATAAAATTAAATGAAATAAAATAGTCTTATTGTTTTGTTAATACTTATAAACGTGAGAGAAACTTCAAAAAAATTACAAAAGAACTATATTATATCCATTAAAAATACATAATGAAAAAGCATTATTTGTAGAAAAAATAACTCTTAAATATCAATTGTTAGACATAACATTATGGAAATTTAAAAATAATATGGAAAGTATCTAATCGTTAAATAAAATAAGCTCTATGACTTTCTAACAGCAAATGCATAGCTTAAAAATATAACGTTGTTTACATTTTTTTGATAGCCAGATCTCATATTTTGATTTATTTTAAATTAATTAAAATTTCATTTTAACGAATAGTAGTTACATAATAATGAAATATAATTCTAGAAGTAAGTTTTATGTATTATAAGCTCCAGCTTAAAAATGTTAAAATGAAGAAAAATATGAATGAAACTTACCGCAAAATGGTATTCCTTCTGGTAGCCATTCACCGGTGGGTTCACAAACTCTTCTCGCTGGACCTAAAAGTTCAAATCCTCTTTCGCAATTATATGTTGCGATTGTACCAGCCAATAAGGTCTCATTGGAAAATGTTACAGTTGAATGTGCTGGTGCACCAGGAAACTTGCATCGACTTTCAGAAGATGCCTTACATCCTATCAACCCTGTAACATAAAATTAAAATTTAATATTAATACTTCATAAGTAATTTGTTATAAAATAAATCCACACTATTTTATAAAAAATATTTTATATAATTATCTATAAGTTTTTCTAAAGCAAAATGTAGTAAATTATTACTATGTAGTAAATATATTATATCATTTGCTGTTAAGTGGGTGCCTATATTTTACTTGGTATATTCACATTTTCAATACGATAGTTCTAATTACATAAATAAATACAAAACACTTATTAATATAGAATATTATACACGATACATTAATATATAATTAATAATTTATATCTGGTATCTATGCACTTATTATTTTTATTTATATTATATAGAAATAATAAATGTATTATAATATCTTAAATTTATGATTTGATTTAGTCATTTAGTTGCTTTTAAATTGTGTAATTTTGTTTATTATAGTAATATAGTATACAATACACAAGGAATAATTAAATTGTTTTTTTTTTTTTTACTACGAGGTTATTATATTTTAAATTACACAAACGATTTTAAGTTGTTTTGATGTTCAGATTTACATTCAAAATTTGATTATAAAATTTAAAAATTTAATAATTACATCAAAACATTAAAATAATATTTTAAGCAGCGACAAACAAATAGTTATTAATTCATTTATAAAAAATATTGAAATATACAAAATGGAAAGATCAACTTAATGCTAACCGTGAAACGTTACGACAAAAATCCTTTTTGCTTTAAAAGAATCTTCTGCTCATTTTAGTTTAAAACATGCGAAATTGCAATTAAGTAACATAAAATATACTGTGTTATATGGAACAAATACGGAGGACTTACGGAAGAAAAGCGATCTGGGCTAATCATAAGCGAAACAAACTACCGTATCAAATGACCGAGTGGCTCTTGGTTATGTCGTAATCATCTTCCAATTTTCGAAATTATCGTGCTGACATTTCTTTGAATGTCCTAGACTAACCTGAATTTGAATTTTTAATGGATAGTGATGATCATTGTCATTTTGAACATATATGTATATATAAACTTTATTTCGTCAAATATTTTTCTATTGGTCTTTTTTAATTTGAACCATTATCTCATTATTTTTCAATCATAAATATGTACACATTAATCATCCAACACCTACTAATTATTAAAATACAAACTATACCTGAATGTATATATTAATGATTTATTTATTTATAATCTATCTCTAATAGATTTTATAGTGAATTCTGATAATTCAAAAATTCTTTTTGTATTACTAAATACTAGATCAATTGGTACTTGAATAGATACCTACAGCATTTTAAATTAACTTGTTTTGCTGCTCGTAATATAAATACAAGCAGTACATTTTCGTAAATTATTATTATATCATAATAGCTAATTTATTTATTTATTATTATTTTTATTACTATTAATCCCCATAATATAATTAAAAGCATTATTCAAAATATAATTTTTTAGTAAACTGACTAATTTAATTGGACACAGAATATTGTGATGTTAAAAGTTTTTGAATTTTTTTTTGAAAAAAAAAAAAAGGAATGTGAAAGTATAAATCAATTATATTTTCTTTTTGTTGTACCTAACAAATAATAGGTATAGTAGGTAGGTACAATATAAATAAATAGGATGTTCGGTAATTTTGTATTTGTTATTATTATTATTTTTTATTGTTGACAGGCTTGTATGGTTTAAAAGACGATGAAATAATATTAGTAGGTACTTTGTTCAATAAAAATAAATTTTTCCTTCAGCAGTGGTGGCCTAACTTTTTTTACCTCGGGCCATAAAAACCAACTTTTTTTACCGCGAGCCATAAAAAAATGTATTTTTAAATTTTTTTTTACGTAAATGTAAAATATTACAGTTACGTAAATAAGTGTTGCAATATAGAATACTTTCGTGGGCCAGATATTCAATGATAGCCGGCCGAAGTTGATCCGCGGACCGTAGTTTGGCCACCACTGCCCTACAGCATTAAAAGACACCCCATTTTTTTCGGGTCTTTAACTATTACATTTTTAGAAGAAATAGATATACTTAATTTCTAAAATGTATAATATTATAAATATAAACTATTCATAGTGCAATATAGTTAGAAATGCATTGCAAGAATATCATATTCACTAAAATAATAATTATATATAGTATAAATTATTTAATAATTACTTATATTTTTTAATGATTTAAAATTATATCAAATAAAATTAATTGGATAAGATTATATCAATTACAAAAATATACTAAAGTATAATATCATAACATTTTAATAATCAAGTAAATTAATTTTAAAATGAACAAATCGATACAATTCTTCAGTTATGAGAAAAAAATGTATGAGACATAACTGAGTAGTCAATATAGGGACTATTAATTTTTATTTCAAAAAATAAAACTATAATAAAAGAAATAAGTGGTTATGAGTAAAATCTATGAAGGTAGAATCGTTTTATTGGTAAGTTGTGGTGACTAGAATTATGGAACATTTTATTAGAGCGTGTAAAACAAGAAATAGTTTTGAAATTTATTAAGGATAGTAAGATGAGAGAATCGATGTATTTAGTTAGAAAGAAGAACTTTAAAATTAGCATACATCTACTCACAGCGAGGATATGTAGTACAGGTGCTTCGACAACAGGAGAGTAATCATGAGGTTCATGTGGGATACCTTAAGAGAAACTAACAAATCTCAAAATCTCCAACAAAAGGCTTCAATTTTGAATAAGTTTTATTATTCACGTTAAAATTAAATAAACTGATAAAGTAAAAAATAAATCCAATAGATCATCATTATAGTATTATAGTAATCGGGATCACAAAATATTTTATATAATTTATTAGGTAATAGATTTTATTCTTATAACATTTATAACTTATATAAGAATTCACATAAGTTTCATAAAATACTTATATTAATTAAAAAATATATATATATATGCGGTGGTGGCGCGATGTGGATTTCATTGAAACAACTGCTTCATGAATGAAATGGGGTGGGTAGGCAATGTTGTACGACAGAAAAGTTTAATACATAGTTTGCACGTTTGACATTAAATACTTTTATGTTTTATTTTGTTTAAACTTCTTTATTTTGATAAAATTTAATAATTTCAATGGGGTGGGGGGTATTCGATAGACGTAACTGCTTCATTGGAAAATAAACTTCGCGCCGCCACTGTATATATGGTTTGGTCTTGTTCGTTATGTAGAAGCTTATATTTCATGCTATTTTAAATTTCAATTTAATTTTTATTTTTACTATGAAATTTATTATGGAATTCGTGTTAATAAAAAGTACCAGTAACCCACGACTCACTTTTTTCTGAAATCCTCTAAATTCTTCTCGTGGTATTTAAAATTCTAATTTTATTTGAAATTAGTTATAGGAAAAACTAAGCAATGAAACTAGTAATGTGATTTTTGATATAATCAATTTTAATAGCATAAAGTATAGTATTATTAATATTATAAGATATTATATTTTAAATAACATTTGTTTTAATTTTCATTGCAGTCCTCAATGAAAAGCTGAACAAAACACCCATGTAGGTAAAAAAATTACCGATCACTGCTTTATTACCTTAAATGAGAATATAATTTGAATTAATTAATATACCAAAAGCAATCGTTTTAGTATATTTAATACATCAAATACAAAAAAAAAGGTAATTACATTAATATAAAATTAAGATCCCAGTATTTTCGAAAACCTTAAGTGTACTAAAATTAATGGATCTAGAAAAATAATTTGTGGATCCACAAACATGATATTATTGTTATTACGTAAAAATTTAAAAATTTATAAACGAGAATAAGTAAGAGATGGATAGTTGAAGGAAATGTGAGTTATAGTTAACTTCTTTGACGTGACGTGTATAAAGAGAAGGGTCATTTAAGGAAAAATTATATGCATGAACAGGAAATATATTGTGACCTAATCTGAGACTGGAAAACCCAACAATGTGAAACCTGGTTAAAACCGTTCATGAAATCATAGGTGTGATGGAATCACTGGGGTAATATATATATGTAAAAAGTACAAATTCAGGCGCTACTGATGACCACATGTTTTGCCAATTCCGATTAAAATTAATTTTAAGTAAATTAAAGATATCGGAAGTCGAAATTTGTCAAATATGGGAGTTTGGACAATTTTTGGTGAAGGTAGCCGGATGGTTATAATGTTGATCATTAAAAGAGTTGAAAAATACTTCTTTAAATTGGCACAGTAAAATTGCTGAAAATTAGTATAAATTTAATAAAATTATCCTTAATTAGAGTTTTGAAGATGATTACTTAAATTAAATCAGCTGTTTAAAGTACGAGGAGTAATGTAATAACAATTCAGATCGCCAATAAAATTAAAATAAAGTCAAGGTCCCTATTTTACACTTAGTAATGTTCACTCGTATTGTAATATAAATATAGTGAGTTCAGCAGCTTCTATTTCGCAAGGCCCAAGTACAAATTAAGATCCGAAAAACAGTTACGAAGTCAGTTTTATATATACAATATTTAAATATCATAAGAAAATTTTATATTTATATAAAACACGGAACATATAAAAATAGGCATTGGAGGTGAATTTAAAAACATTTAGTAAATAAGAATGTTCGCGACTAGAAAAGTAAAATGTTTACAAATTTTCTTTTGATGAAACATTTCATAATATTTGTTTTAAAGAGAATTCTGCTATTCGAGATGTATTGATATCAAATATCAATATAAGTTTTATTGATAAATACACCATATTTTCTAGCAGAACGTATTATTATTATAGTACATGTCATTAGAGCATGAACATATACTACATTATAACTTTATATAAATCGCATTTATTGAAATCGAATAAAAATATAAGCTCACAGCCAAAATTATTTCGTCCTTCCCCAAGTACCTATAACAATCACTCTAAAATCAATCAGCATAATTCATAACGATCGCAGTGCATCTGTCAACAAAATACCGTATATAAAATGTTGACATGTTGTTTTACATTTTAATATATTTTTACATATTTCATTTATGAAAAAAATTTTTCAATATTGTTTCAAATTTAATGATTGTTATACGCAGGCATTTAGTTTATTTAATTAATTTTATTAATAAGTTGATTATAGACATCACTAGTAAAATAATAATTAATCATAATGATAACATTGTTCTCAAATACGAAATCACAAATAAAACATTTTTATATTTTCATTACACTTTTTAAATTAATTTCGCCTAATATTGGCCACCCCAGGAAACGTGTCCTGGACAGGATAATAATTATAACATAAAGGGGGCTATTTCTTTTGGGGAGACTTTTTCACTCAAAAAAATTTAATTTAAAAGTATTGTATAATTGTATAACAAATATAAATATTTTATATTTGTTATCCAACGATTATAAGATACATTGTGGTTCCTTTCAACTTGCAGAGGCTATAGCCCTCCCTAGCCCAACCCCATTGATACAGTCTTGCACGCGCCCAACCGTACTTAAGCCGTAGCAAAGGGGTGATGAGAGATGCCTACACTACGTATGTAATAATTCCTGGGAGGACGCAAAAATGAAAAATTTGCATTTTATGTTAAAAATTACAACGGTCAATATTGAATATTTTATTTATATAAAAACTCCAACATAATAATAATAATATTTTTAAATTAAAAATATATAAGGGGGCGTTTTAAAGTTTCACCACGGGTGCAATATTTTGTTGCTATGGTACTGATGATGCACACTCGCTGCTTAGATAATATTACCTGTGGTCGATAAGATGACGAAAAGTATTAAGCGCCGCATTTTGCAGCGAATACGTGGCGAGAAGAGCACTTCTGCGGGAAAATTACGTAAATTGTTCACTACCGTCGGGATTATGTATGAGATGTATAGTGCGATCGCGTCTCCGCGATACAACAGTAGAAAAATAATAATAATATAAGCGATATGATGAGCGAACGAGCGGACGAGAAACGCGGCACTGACCGGAACAGCGTGACACTTGCGACTGGAGAAAATTGAAAAATACGAAAGTTACCCGGCGGGCAAACCGGTCATCATCTGCGCAATCATAGTCAGTGGCTGTGGTGACGGCGGTGTCGGCAACAGCAACAGGTCCGCCGCCGAATATCAGAAGAAGGAAACGCTCCACGGCGGTGGCTGCAAAGCGCTGACGTCTCGCTCTACTCGCGTCTATCGGTACTGCAAATATATCAGTGTTGCCATCATCCGGCAACGCGACTACAGCCACGGTTGGTCACAACGTAACTATCCGCGCGCAACGACTGATCTAGTTTATCCATCATGGCCGTCACGTTCGTACGCTTGTGTGTCGAGCGCGTTTCTCGTTAACAATAAAAAAAAAAAAAAAAAAAAAAAACAAATAACAACGATAATTTCGGATAAGTACATTTTCACAATCCACCATGCCGCTGTCTCGTGTTCGACCGTAGTGCGTATACGATATAACCGTGTGTGCGCACGTATTTATGTTAATGGAATCGGATCGGGAATCATGAAGCCTTACGACAAATCGAACGTAAGTACCGAGTATGCTAAACCTCGACGGTAGGCCAAAAAATATCATTATCAATGCCAAATTGTTGTATTTGGTCTTCTAGTATGCACTACGATTACGTTACCGGTACCGAAATTTAGCATTCTAATCCTTGCACCAAAGCGCGTAACTACAGATTTCCGTGATCTTTTTCCCGCCTGTTTAGTACCATGCAATCACATGGTCTTGCCGGACAAGCAACTCAACAGCGGGTTATTACTGATACGCTTCTCTGATCTTATGTGTGCTTAAATATTATTGATTATTACAGAAATATACTTTGAATTATGAATTTTAACCGATATTCCGTGTTTTCTGGTTATTTTTTTTCAGTCTTTTATCCATAGAGTGACTAAACGCGTGTCTGGGCTCATTCCTGGTACGGCATGGATGAACTCTTTTCTTAGTGAAACACAGTCTAATGATGACCCTATATCATTAAGTGAAAACAACGATCAACCTCCTGTAAAAAAATTGTGTACATCCAATAATACTTTTACGGCAAACTCAAATTACCGCTCATCCCTGGATACCAAACCATCTATTAATTCAACTGATGATCTTAGGAATTTTCGTAAGTTAAAATAATAGATCTAATTGTTACACAATTATATTGTATTATTGTTCATGTAGATGTTAATGTTGTATCACCTGAAATATCTGCTGTTACTTGTGTGCCAAGTACGAGTAAGCAAAGTCCAAAATTTACTAGCTTGTCAAATTCTTCCCTACAAGGTTATGATGTTGGTAATAAAAGTAAGTACTTGAGTTTTATTAAAACATTTTAATAATTTATACATATAAGTTTGAAAATTGTTTCCCTGAGAATTAGTTTCAACAGATGTATTTTTGTCCAAGTTAGATTTAATTGCTTTCTAAACAATTATTTTAATGTTACATTTTCTATATTTTATATATTAATGTATCTTCTACAACTGTCGTATTGTTCTTATTAAGGTTCTTTGAAAAGAAAATCTGAAGTTGGAGAAATAACTAATATTAACCAACAAATTCCAAAAACAATAGCATTCAACTTTGCATCATCAACACCTACATTAGTCACAACAAACAATTTAACAGGTGCTAGTACAAGTAAGTATTTTTTTTTTAAAAAATGTATACAATTTAAGAGAATTTTTTATGTAATTAAACTACCAGAAATAGTAATTTTCAAGTAACAATGTAATAGTTTACTTCTAATTGTATAACTAAATAATTTTAATTTGTATACTTCCATTGCAATGGAATATTTTTTTCAGTGACTATTATGAGAGTGTAGAGTTCATATTGTCTTTATGATATACATACGTAATGAACTTTAAATTTAATATTTTTTAATTATTAGGAGTAGTCTGATTATTACATGATATCGGCCAATATTATATTGATAAAATTAAATTTTATTAAATATTGATTTGGTTTTAAAATAGCTTGTTGTTAATAAACCTAATGTCACAAGACTGCTGTGGTTAAAACAAATTATTATTGGTTCTATCGAATATCAGTTTTATTTAAGTATCTGCTATGTTTTTTTTAATAATATTGGAAAATGAGCTTATTAAAACATATTTATATAGTAGAAACTCGAAATTGTGTTACTCTCTGTTATCCATCATCGCTATCGTTAATGAGGCAATTGCAATAAACTTGTGGGTATTATCAAGCGTGTACAAATTTTTTTTAATATTCATCATATATGAAAAACATGATGTGAACAAGCAAATTGAATTATTTTTAATTTAATTTTATCAGTGACTGATAAGTAGCCCGGTCTTATGGCTACATAAAGTACAAAATATTATAGCTATAAAAGCTTGAACGCCTAAAAAAACAAAAAAAAAATATATATTATTTTGTTTAAAATTGTCAGTTTTAGTTGAGTGGTGTTTAGTATGGCATGTAATAAGTAGTATATAAGTGTAATATTTTTTTTTTTGAAAATACACATGTAAAATATATATGTTAATTGAAATATTTCTGTTAACCGTCATAGTCCTGTTCCCGACAGTGATGGTTAATCAAATTTATATTATGTATAAAAAATTATGTATGCAATTTAAAATAATCTTATTATTATCTTTTTCGCCTAAACAAGTAGCTTAAAAAATGTTATAAATTATTCTTGATATTAAAATTCACAAATTATGTATATTATATGCTGAGTAGAAGTTTATGATGATAATTGGTGATAATAATTTTATTAGCTCAATTCTTCATATAATTCTATGAAATGTATGACATTTCTATTTTATTTGTTAATTAAAGCTATTATTTTTTAAATTATATTTCCACACCAATTAAAAATATAAGTTTGTAAAATTTTAATATTGTTGAATAATTTTTTCTTTCAAATATTGTCTGAAGTAAACCACAAAAAAAAATGTTAGACAAAGTTTGTTGTAATCTAGGGAAGGATTCCATGTTAATCAATGTGTTTTTAATTAAATTATTTACTTTTATTGATAAAATAATTTATGAATTATGATTTTCAAGAAGAAATGTTTTGGTTTTACTATATTTATTTTTTCTATCTTTACACAATTTAAAGTTGTAGTACTGTGATCATCGTGACCATTAAAGCTTTTTGATAGGTTAGGATTTTGATAGAAATTGTTAAATTGGTACTTTAAAAGAAGTAATTTTACATAAATAATTTTCAAATAAAAAGTTATAAAAGCATGATAAATTTTGCAGCATACTGATTTTCAACAATATCAACATTTATTTTAATAACTCAAAAAATAATCGTAAATACATGAAATGTTCACTGAATAATTTTGTTTTAATTTTTCATAGATAGTATAATTTTAAGAATATTTGAGTTATTTAAAGAAAATTGAAATTTTCATTTATTTTATTTTCTTTTGAAAATGTCCATATTTTCAGTGTCTATACTTTGAAAATTGGATACAACATTTTTTTACATCATTATTTTTTTTTTTTTTTTGTAATCAAAAAATTATTGGAAAGTTTAAGAAATGATTTATAGGAGTTGCTAAATGAAATTTTAATGAAGTTTGTGCTGTATATAGACACTCAACATTTTTAATTATAGATAGATTTTTTTTGTGTAAATGTTCAAAAATTCATCCTACCTTGTTAAGAAATTTGGTTCTTCTACTATATTTACTATCTTTATAAGTATTAATAGTTTCGCCCATTCTCTTTCACTCAATTTGATTTTTCAAGAGCAATAGTACATTGGTTACAAATTTAAAAGATAACGTTTTCCCAATATTTGAGTTACACCCTTTTAAATGATAAAAATATATATAAAAAAATAACTTATTTAATTATTTTAAAGTCTTACTATTTTTATGCCATTGGCAGTATTATTATATTATTGCTATTGCTAAATTCATGTACTCTGAAACAGCATTACTGATTTCTTAAAATCAGTGATTTCTCCGATTTGACATAATATACCTATATCATTTCTTTTTAGTATCATGTTTTTATTTAGGTTTAATTTTCTAAAAAGTATAATGCACATTTTTATATAGGTTTAAAGAGGTCATTTAATTCAGACAAGTTTTCTTCAAATGAATTTTCAACACCAACTTCAACCAAACTAATTAAAACAAGTAAGATAAATAATTTTTTTAGATGATTATTGTATATTATGAATGTAATTTTTCATTTTTCACTAGTTATGTACTGCAGCAAAAACAAATTTACTAAAAAACCAATTCAATTTTAATACACTAAAAATATACTACTAAATATTATATTTGCATAAAAGTAAAATGTGTAATAACATTGAAAACATTTTAAATTAACTTTCTACATTTTTTTTTTTTTTACCTTAAGGAAATATCGCTTTGTCACTTCAATCAATTTTCCCTATTCTCTGCTATTCTCTTCATTTTTACATAGCTCCGTAGAGATAATAATTTAATATCAGATAATAGATAATTATAATAACTTTCTAAATACCCATAAAAAAAGAAAAAGCTATTTATTTTTATTTTAAATAAATGTATTTGTATATATTTATTAATTAATTCCAAGTCTTATGATATTTTTTGTAACATAATGACTTTTTTACAAATCTGTTGCTCTTAATTTTGGATTCTTTATTTAATTATATAATGATATATTTTTTTTATTATAATATAAAATTTTTATTTAAGGAGAAAATGAATCTCAATCTTTGTTAAAATTCCGTGAGACAACAAAACCATTATCTACAGCATCATTTAGATGGGACACGTTTGTCAATTATGGAGAAGTAAGTTAAAGTACAAATTAAATTTATATAATTATTAAAAATATAAGTTTTTCTATTAAATTATTGTATTGTTTTTACAGTTATCAGAACGCCAAAAGTTATTTGCACAGAAATCACCTTTAAACTGTTCTCATGTAATGTATGGTGGTAATTCTGCACGTTCCACCTTATCAAAAATTTTAGGTAATACTCCACCAATTCATAGAAAAACAGTTATACCAATATCTCCTACAAATACTGAAATTAGAACAACTTCATCAATTCTTCTAGAAAACATTTCTACTAAGGTTAGTCTTCTTTAATAATTAACTGAAGATCTTTGATTATATATATATATATATATATATATATATATATATATAATAGTTATGTTAAAAAGCATTGGTAAGTAATGTGGTTATTTATATAAAAGGAGTAATATACAAATATTTCTCAAAGTAAAATGTATGTATTGTCTAGTTTCATATTAGACTTCAAATACCACTTAAAAAAAAAATTAAATTGATGTATTTTTCTCTTTATAAAATATTATTTAACAAAAACATTTATATTATTTAATATAATTGTTATAGTAAAAGTAATGTAATAGCCAGTAACATCTTCATAATACCTTAATTTACAATATTTATAATATTATATTGTGAAAATATTTTCTTTAAATTTAATTAAAAAAAATAAAACTACTATATTAACACATTCATTATCATTTTTATTTTATGCACCAGAATAACAATTTTTCGAATTTGTCCTCTATGGTATAGTGAAATGGAAACTGCTATTGTGCTCTTTTAAAATGAGTCAGATCTTATTAAAATTTTAACAGTTAATTATTGTACTGTATATTTTGATTGTATAGGATAAAGAAATTGAAGAAAATAAATTTATTATCGAACCCAAAGTACATCTAAGACACAAAGCTGATCAAAAATCTGTACCTCTTAAAGTAGAAACCACTATTAAACACGTGGAAACAACACCAGAAAAAGCCAATGATAAATCAAGGGATGTCTCGTAAGTAAACCTAACTTCAATAAAACTTTTTAGTATGACTCTCTATTTAAATTAAATAGATAATTTTGTTTTAAAAATTTTTTTCATATTTAACAAATTATAAAAGATTTGTGATGGATTATATAATTCATTATCTATTTCTGAATGAATGTTGATATTCTGTAAAGTTTTATTAATTTTTTTCTGTTGATATATATTATTATTTTTTATTATTAACTTACAAGAAAATATATGGTCTATTTATTTTAGTGATTGTAATATATTTTTTTTTAGTAAACTCGAAATCAGTGGTGTATGATACACACTTTGCTAGTTCCCCTGACAACTAAAAAAAAATTCATTTTTTTTATCTGAAAAAATATTAAAATCTTGCCCCACGGGTTTTCATACTAAACATATCTTTTATTAGCTTGAAACTCGTGATTTTTTCTAATCAAGTTCTAAATTATAAGTATGAGCTTCTTTCACCTTTCAATTTTTATGTAAGGCATAGATTTTATACCAAATTAATATCACCTTAATTTTTAAATCTTTTATCATAATGTATTGTTTTTTTATTTTTATTTGGTGAATCGACTACTGTAAAGTATTCTAGAATAATTAATTTAAGAAATAAAAATGCAATAGTGAACATTTTGTGATTAATTGCTAATATATTGATTATCTTATCTGTAACTTAAATCAATCATCTTTTATAGTCATTTTAATGTTTCATTTCATTTAATTCATGGAATGTTTCATTATACAATATTATAAATTGAATAAGTTACAGTATAATTTCATCCACCAGAGACAACGCATTGGCCAAACCTTCTCCTTTTAAAGTTGTGAAATCTTGTAATATCTTTAATTTCAAATTCCTGAATGAATTATTTTACATTACAAATAATATTTATTTTTCAAATTCATATAATTCTATTATTTTGCTTATCTTTAATATTACTTCTTTTTTGGTAAATTATTACATAATTATATTTATAATAGTATAAATAAAATCACCTTGAAAATATAGAAAATTGATTTATTATATGATTTTTTTATAGCTAATCAAATCAAAACTAAGCTTTTTTTTTATGGTTGGATCCTTGTTATAATCTTGTCAAATCTTCCACAGTTAAATACATTTCTTGAACCTACACATGAATAAAGATTATGAGCTCAAGTTAATCACATCAGTATGAAAAATCTATCCATAAACAATAATTTACAAATTCATGCTCAAACCCTAAATTTATAATAATATACCTTCATAGACATACAATTTAAAATTAATATAATTTTTAAAATCCATTTGATAATTTTGATTTCTTCACTTATGGGGGGGGGGGGGGGGTTGTGAAAAAGTGGAATATGATTAATATTCAAAAACATCTAGTGACATTTTAGATCCCTTTAGTTTAATTTTTTTATCCATATAATTTGACAATGTTTGATGATTTTTGTTTATTTTCTTTTATTAATGTCTATTTATTTCTACTATTTCTATTATATTTACTTAATGAAAATTGTTTAGGAATAATAGAACTAAGTAAAGAGTTAATTCAAGTACATAAGGTAATTAGTAATAAATGCAACATAGAAAAGATAATGAAAGTTTCTGGTGAAATTTTATTTTATGACTTTAAAAAAAAATGCACTTCATTGTTATCTTTTATAAATTTTGTAAAAATTTAAATTTATCCAAAATAAATTATGTTAATGAAAACTAATAAAAAAGAGGGTTTATGTAGTAGGTAGATAATATTTTAGAAATTTTCTATTGAATTTTCAGAAATTATGAACATGATTCAAGATCGAAAGGATAACTATTTTGGCATTACAATATCTACTATATAAGTCCATTAATAGTTAACATAATTACACCAATTATATTCAGGTGCTACTTTGTCCTATGTAAATTCTACGTGTTTCAAAGATAATGAACAGGTTATATGTATGTTGATTTGGTTTATGTTCTTAATAAATTATCAACTGGAATAATTTAGTAATGCCATTGATATTAAAATAGGCGCATTAAAATAATAAAAATACTTATTTTACTTAACAATAATAACAAGAAGAAAATTCTTGGATATATATATATATATATATATATATATATATATTATTAATATATTTTTTTTTCATTAAATAATTGTTTACTAGATTTAATTTCAAAATGTATTATTTTTTTTGTTTCATGTATTACTATTAAAATTAATATTATTTAATCAATTAGAGATATTTCTAAAACAGAATAAATAAACAAATAAATGATTTTTAAATGAATTAGTTAAAAAAAAAATTGTTGTTCTTATTACTCCATTTATTTAGGTTGTTGAATATAATCATAGTTTCCATTTTGTTTAGGTCAATATGTTCTGGTCGAGATTCATCTAGAAAGCTTAGAGCCAATATTTCAAAGAAAGCTCGTGGGCTTATGCCTGAAGAACATGAAATGCCTACTAAAGTTGATTTACCGAACATTTCTTTAACAATGCCAATACTGCCAAATATAAAATTGTCTAATAATGGTATTGAGGATAATGAATTCAAATTTAATCAACCATTAACAATAGAGCAGTTCAGTTTACAAATTGCTGAAAAGACATGCAGAAAAAAACAAAAAACTAATATAAAGAAAACACAGATTACTAACACTGGTTTAAATAGTAATGACCATTCTAACTCTTTAGCCCAAAATTCATCATATAATGTTTCTACTTTTGATACATTTAAAAATGAAACTGAGAAAGATTCTATGTTAAAAAATAAGATTTTGGAAACAAATGACAAAGTATTAGACACATGTAAGTTAGATCAAAATTCTAAAGATACTTCTACAAAAAAATCCATTGACAGTTCTGATTCTATTTTAGAATCTAAAAATAAAGTAAATGATTCATCCCAACTATCAGTGTCTAATGAAAATAATTCATCACTACCACAAAAATTAACAGTTGCACATAAAAAATGGACCTGTGACACTTGTTGGGTTTCAAATGACAGCGAAAAAGTTAGTTGTATTGCATGTCAAACTCCTAAACCCGGTTGCTCTCAAATACCATTAAAAGTTTCTAAATCAAGTACATGGACTTGTGAAAATTGTTGGGTTCCCAATAAAAATGAAATTGATGCATGTGTAGCTTGTCAATCGCAAAAGCCTGGAACTACAAAAAAAGTTATAGAAGAAAGTAGTACTTGGACATGTGATGCTTGTTGGGTTAAAAATAAAAATGAATGTATTTCTTGTATATCATGTGGAACAGCTAAACCTGGATGTGTTATAGAAAACAAACCACAAATTTCTACTCAGTTTAAATTTGGATTAAATAATAATTCTGAAAAATTTGGTGAATCAGGTGGTACTCAGTTTAAATTTGGATTTGATGGTGGTAAAATAGGTCAAACATCAAGTCAGTTTAAATTTGGAAGTACTGCTTTTAAAAGTTCTGAAAATGGAAAATTTGAGTCATCTGTTCCTGAATTTAAGTTTGGTGTTAATAATATCAAAACTGATCAATCACTTGGTACCTTTAAGTTTGGTACTGATAGTGTAATAGGCCAGTCAAATAAGGCACTAAATTATGAAAAAAATACTACTACTGATCAACCTAATGATAGTAAATTCAAGTTTAGTTTTGAGAATAAATCAGATCAACCTGAAAATCAGTTTGAATTCAGTAATACCTCAACTAGTAAACCAATAGCACAGTTTAAATTTGGTTTAAATAATATGGAAAGTGATAAATCTGTTCAACAAAGTCTTACCTCCGATAGTAAAGATGCACAATCTACAAATGAATTAAAATGTGTAGTTAATAATAAAAATGAATTTAAAGAAATACAAAACAAAAGTATTCCGTTTAGATTTGGTGATCCAAAAAAAGTAGAAAATTCGACCCCCCAAGTAACTTTAGAATCTAATGAAATTAATTGTAATTCAAATGCATTAGTTGATATCGGACATAAAAATGAAGTTAAAACAAATTTGTTATGGGATAAAAAGGATAAAATTGAATCCAAGCCGCTAAACTTTGGAATACCTCAAACACTTCAATCTACAGTTGAAAATTCAAGTACAACTCAAATGGTAAATGGTCATTCGCATTCTAATGAAACATCAAACGAAGATCAAAAGCCAAGTTTAATTAAAACCTCTCAGTTATTCAGTTTTAGTTCTTTGGGAAAACAAGACCAACATTTGTTTGATGGTCAAAAGAATCCTGCAACTTTTACTTTTGGATCAGCTACTACTGATAATAAGTCTTTTATTGCACCAATATCAACAACTAGCAGTTTTTCTAGTACTGCTCCGGTATTTGGTGCTAGTAATTCAATATTTAGTAGTGGACCTTCTACATCTATTCCAGCAACGTTGGGCTCATCAGTAGCAGCACCACAATTTTCATTTGGATCAATAGCTCCTTCGTCCTCAAACAGTTTTTTTTCTAAACCTGTCAAAGACAATGATAACAAATTATTAGCTTCAAATTCATTTACTGCTACAACAAATTTAGGTTTTTCATTTGGCTCTCAGTCTACACCAGTATTTAATGTACCCAATTCTGGAGTGCTTGTAAAATCTTCTGTCCTGGTAATTAAGTTATAACACCTGATGTTTATTACAGTTCAAATTTTATTAATAATTATTTTTGTAGGCTGACGATTCAGTGAAAAGTACACCAAATATATTCAATCAATCGCAGTCAAATACCAAACAAGCTATAAAATTAGATCCTAATGCACCACTATCAATCAATTTTACTGGTGGAGCAACAACTCAATTTACGTAAGTATTTATAAATTAAATTTTTTTTTTATTTTTTTTTTTAATAAATATTTGTTTATTAGGGCGAAACCAGAAACTAAAGAACCACCTACTAAACGAAAAATTCTAAAACCCGTTCGGAGAATTCGGTAAACACATAAAGTACTACTTATATTATGAAGTTACTTTATTATTATACTGTAATTTATTTTAAATGTAATTAAATTTGTTCTGTTTGAACTATGTCTTGTTATTATATTCTTATAATTATTGGTTAACAATGGCTTAGTAAAAAGTACAGGTTGAGGTCAGTATTTTTAAAGTTTAACATTTATTATTTCGACATACAATTAAATTGATAACATTTTATGGCGCACACAAAATATTAAGGTTTATAATTAAATGATGAATTATCACTTAACAAATATTTCAATTAAGACTACAGGAGCTATAAGTTGGTTTTTTTTTAATTTTTTTACTAAGTTTTCTTTTAATATTGAGTTATGAAATTTTTATTCTGAAAGAGTATACTATATTTCCAAAAATATTTATGTTATTTTGGTAAAAACAAATAGCCAGTTTTTTATTAAAATATTGATTTTACTTTTATATTTAGCAGAAAAATATTGATTAAAAGAAAATATGTATATAATTGAGTAATCATTCAATTAAATTATATTTTCTTAAGTATATTTAATTACAACTTAATATCAATGTGCTCATTTTATTTCCTTAGTCTTGTACATATTATTAAATGTTATTTATTTTATAAATTTGTAAGCTATTTAGTATTTTCATATTTGAGTTAACTATTTTAAATTGTTAGTATAAATTTATCTTATGAAATATCAAGAAATAATTTTTTTTATAATGTTGGAATATTAACATCTGAATATGCGGCTTTTCACATTTAATTGTACTTGATGACAATTTTTTTAAATTTTTTTTTTTGACAAGTAATAATACTTTGATACCTAATATAAATTATTATTAACATTTGCTTTATGTTCAATTATAAGGATGTGTTTTTCCTTTACCTTCAAAAAAATAAAAATGTGCAACGTATCATATTATAATACATTAAAATACAATTATGATTTCAGTGAGTGTATTGATAATTGGCTGTTTTGTGCCATTTATTGTTATACAATTTTTATTTATTATTTTATTACCAGTGGTATACAAAACATAACATAGTTTAACGTTGTACATTAATGTTAATAATTTTTTTTTCTTTTAGTGGTTATATTTGTTTTAAGTTTAATATTGTAAGTCTGACCCAAGGAATTTCTATTAGCTACAAAAATGTTTATTATATAAATAATCATTTTTGCTATTTAATTCCCCTATTTTTATTTTTCAAAAAAATATTACAATTCCTTTTGCATAGAAGTATTGTATTTTATTTTTGTATTGTAGAATGTAATAAAAAATTATTACAACTCTTGTTAAGTCAGCCAAATGATATGAATTTCTGTGATATTCTTGTGGGTCAGGCTATGTTAGATGTTTATTCATCAAAAAGTATAGCAGGCTCACTCCTTTTGAATTAAATATATTTTTAATTTAAAACTTGAATGTACGTGTATTATGTTATGAAAAGAAGTAAATAATTGATATTTTAGAATTTTTTTTAAAATTTCTGACTTGTTTATTTCCATTTACATAGTCTTGCGTCAGTAGTTATTATATTGTTGTCTTTTTTTATATATATACATTTGTTGTACAGTGTTGCGGATTTAATATTTTGTAAACACTTAAGTGGAAATAAACTAATTTGACTGTGATGTAAGGATATTATTTATTTTTGTCCAAGTGAATAGTTTTAGGAGTAAGGCTGCTAATTCGAGCTTCATGTAGCCTATTTTTCTTTATTGTACAGTTTTAGTATCATAAGTTATTTTTAAGTTTACTTCTAATTTAAATAATGCTAACATTAATTTCTTTAAAAACTGTAATAAGGTACAATATAAAATAAAATTATATGTTTTATTTTTTAAATGTTACTTATTATGTACTTATTAGTCAAACTAAAGCTCTAAAAAGACCATTTAATGAAATTCAAGTAACTGGATATTTCAGAATTATTTGTAAGTTTCAAAATAATGTCCTGAAATAAATTAACTTCACTATGACATATTTTTTATTTTATAAATTATAAATCAATGTTGTTATAAAACAAATTAAAAATATATTTATTTTGTATCATTTTTTAAACACAATTATATATTTTCTATCATCGTTAGGAGTGTCATAACATATCCAAATATTTTGATGTTTTCAATATTTATAAATATTGGTTGTTTTTTTGGTTTTGGAATTTAAAGAATTTAATTTGATTTTGGTCATTGACTGTTGATTAATGTTACTAAAAAATAAGATTAGACAAAATATTTTTTATTTAACTTCTATAAAGTTCATAAACTAAAAATAACCCATTGTGTTGGCACAGGATTGTTATATAACAATAAATAATTATTAAAAAAAAAAAAATGTATGTTATTATCTTTATGTAACTGATTTATAAATTGATATAGGCTTGTAAAATAACATACAAAATACATTTATTTTTTTTTTAAAAATTAACTGTTCATAAATTATTTAATGATAATATATAATCTATTGTAAATAGGTTATTTTTTCAATTAATAAATATTTTGCTTATTCAGATTTTACTTAATTTACTTTATAAAGATATATTTAATTCATCATTTATTTTTTAAAAAAATTCATGAACAAACAAGTCTTCTTACTACATGTTAGAATCTATGTGTGCACCATATTTATTTTTATAGTTCCACACATTGCGTCAATTATGGAAACAAGATTTAGTGTTTATGTTTCATACACAATCAGTTATTTTTATTTTACCGTGACCAAGAGCTTAGCGAGTTTAAGAAGATTAACTGTTAACAAGTATGTTATATGTACCTATTGGTATGACAGTTAAAATTTTTTACCCGCCTACATGGTATGATAAAAATTATTTGTGCACCACCTTTTTTAAACTTCACGAACCGCCACTACTCAACAATGAATTTTTAATTCGAAACCGGATATATTTAACAAATATAATAACATGTCAGACTAAGCTTTTATTCATTTATTTATTTTAATCTATAATCTAATTGTTTATTGATAAATGAATTTATGAGTATTAATCTTTTTTTAATTTTTAATCTTTATTTTATCAAATTATGTAATTATTATTTTAGAAATTGAACAAGTCATAAATGCTTCCTTGGTGGGGCGAATAAAAAAATAATCACTATATATTATTTTCCCTTGAATTTATAAAATATATTTATAATTATAACACAAATATATAGGTACTTAGTATTATCTAATTTTTTGTTGTAAATTAAGTACTAAATGATAATCTAAAGGCTTAAAAGACAAGTAGACAGTGAATAAATGATATATTTTTCATCGTAATAAATGTTAACAATCTCTTGACTACCTACCTGGACAAATCTTGAAGAATTTTAATCATTGCCCATGAGTAATTATTAAGTTTATGATGTGAATCATGCTTTAAATTTTTTATCATATTTAAAGTAAATTATTTCATAAACAATAAGGATTGTAGATAAATTGGTTATGTATCTTATATAGGTACTAAAATAATGATGTTAAAAGAAAGATACACTAAAATGTATTATTAAGTATTTTTCATTACTTAGTAAATAAATTATTACATTAATTGTTGCAAATCTAAAAAAATTGAGACTTGTAAGGTTTAATTCAACTCATTTATTCTTTATTTTTTTATATAAACTTTTATATATAAAATATATAAATATAAAATATTTAAATATATAAAATATATAATAAATATATATATTTTATATATATATTTATTATATATAGGTGCAAAACTTTTTAATCACCTTTTAGATACCTTGTTATTTCTGAATGTACACATCAAAGCTTAAACTCATGGGTTATTTTTTTTCATATTTTATGCTTACAACAATTCACTAACGTACGAAATCTATGTTGAACATCGAAAAATGAAAGAAATGCATTTTAAAATTAATATAGTATAATATATATTTTAATAATATAAATATATTTAAAAAAAGTTTAAGTTGCTTACTTGAGTTGTGTTTAGGCCGTATCTTAGATGCCCGTTCATTGGCAGCACTGGAAAAAACCATCCAATCGGAATACGAATATTTCAAAGTCCATAATAACGACTAATTATAATGAACAAAATGATAAACGGTCAAAAAGTACCTATATCGGCCATTCTTGTTACATTTTTCCCATTTACGCTCCGACTGTGTTGAATGCGTTGATTTACTTCACAGTTATTGCCTCCTTACGATCCTCGGATACATCTGTTCTAACAGCGATAGTTTTCGTGGATATTTTCAAAAGGTCGTGCGTTTGAGATTTTTTTTTCCGGTGTTTTATTTTTTACTTACATTATAAAAAATGAACAAGGAAGACGATATTTTCGAATTTGACGCGCCCTCAACATTTGCCAATTTGTACGAAATAGCCAATGCTTCTGACGACGGTGCCGATAAGTATTTCGGTAAGTTACTAATTGTTTGCCATACATCGTTTCTTTTAATTCACTCGCTTTGTTGTCCGATGGGTGTTGAAAAATAGGAATTTTCTATCATCCGACGTATATAATATCAATATCCCATCTGTTTTAAATTAAATTTTAATATTAGTGAGTAAAAATTATTTTTGTGTAAATATAACCCGGTACCTAGTACCTTTGGTGTTGCTGTTATTTTAAATTTTAATGGCATAGATGTCTAATTATAATAGAAAGTGTATATATTTAGGAATATAATAATGACGTTAAATTATTTTGTTGTTATGATATGTATAGGTAATTAATGATATGAATACTTTTATAATATTTTATTTTAAATTTTAATTACCTATAACTTAAATTATCTATTTATAATTTTTATGTTATCCATTAATAAACAACATTTGAAAGAAGTTAGTTATTCTGGAAATTACCATAGGTATCTATATAAAAATAAAATTTAAAATTAGTTAATAAATATAACAAAAATTAAACAAAATAAATGCTAAGTATTTATTTATTTATTTACTTACTTCTATTTATGAACTATTTGTTTCTTTATTTATATAATAAAAATTAAATTATTTTAAAGGATTAATACTTTAAAATAATAATAATTTATATTGATATTAGAAGTATTGAATAACTTTTAATAAATTATTTATATATATAATTATAAATTATATATATATATATTTAATTTTATTAGATATTATTGCTGAAAAAATGGAAGGTGCTAAATCGGAACCGAATTTGGGAATTATTAAAAAATCTAACCATGACAATGACGATGACTTTGAAAATAACAAAGAAAATTTTGCACCTGATGATCAATTTGATGACAAAAATATTAAGTAAATATTTTCATATTCTTACCCTTATCTTTTACGAATTAAGAGTATTCATCATTCTCATCTACTACCTTTATTTAATGATCAGTCTCTTTCCTTAATTATATAAACTATCCTTGTCTAACCATATCTTCCTTGTCTTTTATTTTCCTTTCATTATCATGACCTCTCTCATTTATTCTTTCATTTTATCATTGTTTTCTGTTATTGGTATTAATTTACTATTATAATTTTGAAATACCAAATTTGTAATTTGTAACTTAATTATTTATTTTACATTTAAATGTTCTAAGAAAATGTTACATTTTAATAGTTCACTTGCTCATCAATTAATTCGTTCTGCCAAGAAATCAAGAACATCTAAACTACATAATAGGCATTCAATTACAATAGAAGGAATTGAAGTGGAATTACCGCGGATCAAGCACCATGCTATGATTACTAGGTTGGATGAATTGGAAAACACACCAAAAATTGACTTGCGTACACGTTCAGTCATCAAATCTGGGTACAAATATGAACACATTAAATCAGGTTCGCAAGAAAATATTATAATAGATAAAAGTTCAAAAAAATTTATGAGTATTGCTGAAAAAGTCAGAAATTTCTTCAACAACACACCACCTAGGTTTCATTCTAAACCCACCATTCCAGCTGGTGAGTCACTATTATCTGGTGCTCGTTTATTCACTTCTTGCTTTCTGTTAGCGCATGCTATTTTGTTATGTTAGTTATTTCTTGTTGATCTTTTTTATAATTAGTTTTTTTATAAGAAGCCAACATTTTATAATTTTTAATTTTTCCTTAGTAATTTAAATTTCATTTTTTCTGTGTAATGCATTAGACTAAACTGTTTCTATTAATGTGTTTTTTTCTAAAATAAACTAAAATTTACCGTTGTTAAATTATTATATAATGTAATAAAAAATAATAATAAAAATAATAATTTTACTTGTTATAGGTTCAAATGTACTTAAATCAAGAAATCTTTTTGCAAGTGCTTTTGAACCAAGTTCTAGTTCAAATAATACTAGTAATATTATTGATAAACAAATAAAGTAAGTGTTTTATTCTAAAATTATATTTTTAATTATATTAAACATAATGTGTTTTTAAAATGTTAATGTAGTAGTGGACATGATTCAAATCACTTACAAAATAATCAAAATGGAAACTTTGATATTCATTCGAGTGCCGTCAAAGTAGTAATGAATTATATTTTAGATTAACTCTATAGTAGTAATTGACCGATTGTAATTTATAGCCTGTTAAAACTCAAAAAATTAAAGTTCTTAACTCTCATGGTGGAGTTCAAGTAATTGAGAACAAAGAACTTGGTCATGGTGGTATTAGAGTACTGGAAAAGCAACTTCATACAGTTCCTAAGCCTTTTAGTTTTGAATCACGTAAATCATGTGCTGTTAAATCACAAGTAAATTCAATAAATTTTTTTTTTTCTTATAAAATTATAATTTCAAATATTTATTTTTTATTAAGAATTTGAAAAATATAGAGCCTCAGTGGACATTTAAAGCTCGTCCAGCAACTGTATTAAAAAGAAAACCATTTGTACCTAAACATGAAAAAAAATTTACAGAACCAAAAAATATATGTTTAAACACTGAAAGGCGTGCTCAAGAATGGATGGTTTTTGAACAAGAAATAAAAGAAAAATTTTCTCACTACGAAGAATTGTTGAAAAAGGTATGAATTATAAATTATGTACTTAATTATCAATTTTATTAAGCTTATAATGTTTATTATTGATTTAGAAAGAAGAAGAAAATAAAATGAAAGAAATGAATATGATAAAAAATATGCGGCAACAAACTATTCATAAAGCAGAACCTATTAAAAAATATAAACCGATACTGATAAGGAAGTCAGAAAGACCTGTGACAGTACCACAAAGCCCTAGATTTTCTATTCGTCCTATTAGAAGTTGTTTAAATTCTGTATGCGAGTAACTAGTGAGTATTAATTACACTTACTATAGATTTACATTTTTTATATTATATATTATTCTATTTATATATTTATTCTATTTAAAAAATGTATAATAGTATTAAACTTAAAACATGCATAAATAAAAAGAAATACTAAAAAAATCTTGAAAATGAATCTGACAATTAGGTTTCTATTTTGTTATAATACATTAAAATCTGGTGTGATTTAAAATAGCAATGCACAAGTTTCCTTTTAAAGTTTGTTGTGAATGGCAATCTCTATGTTTGTTTTTATTATTTGAAGTTGTGAAAATGCAGATTCATAGAGATATGTCGTTACAAAAGGAATAATTATAATTAAAGTCGTTTTGATATTAATGAATACTCTTGCTGTCATATTCTTTTAATAGTATTATTAGAAACAAAGTTGGATCATAATGTCTCTGTAGTTTAATCTCCATGTACAATTTCTAATATTTTTATTGCTGCAAGTAAAATTAAGTTTTCTCTAACAGTAAAACTTTTCTTAGCTTTAATAATTAATAAAGATATTTAAACAATGTTTTATTTTTTTATTTTTCAGAGAGTTTAGTACTTAAATATCTATTTCATTTTTTGATCTTATGCAATCATTCGTGTAGTTCAATATATAACTTACATTGGTCATTCTTTTTTATTTACACATAACTAAATTTTTTAAAAAATGTATATAGTTACTTTTTAAAGATATATTTTAATTAATTAGAAAAATATAAGAAATAAATACAATTATGATCATATCTTTTAAAAACTTAAAATTGAGATTTTTAGAAAACAATTTTTAAGGGTTTGAGAAAACTATTTTTAAATCCTTGCTGCTTTACTATAATTTTCCATTGATAATTGTATTTTTTTCCATGTTTTATTCTAAGCAGAATTTCTACATGCAAAGGCTTTTTCATTTTGTCAGTACATCTCTGTTATAATCTCCCTAAAGGATCTAATAATTAATTAATAGTAAATATTTGGAGTATTATTGAGTCTGTATTAGTTCATGGTGTATTAAATACTGTCTTTGTATACTTCATAAACAATGATGTAGTGCTAAAAATATAAGTGGGTATACGCCAAATTCTGTCAAAGTAACTAAATTTCTTAAAAATATAATTTCTCAGTCATTTATTATGAACTATACAATATTATTTATTTTTAATGTAATATAACTCAGTGCTTTATTATGATTTAGTTTAAATGTTGTGCTTGATAAAATGTTACAGCTATGTCATACACACTACAATTTACATTTTCATTTATATTTATAGCAACTATAAATTATAAAATATTGCTTAATAATTAAACTTATTGCAAAATAATTTTTAAGTGATACTTAATACATGACTAAATTAAGATTAATGAAGATAATACAATACAATTCACATGAAACATAAGTGTAAAATTGTAAATTAACAAATGTTAATATATTTTTAAAATAAATATAGACACTAAAGAGTGGTTATACGCATGTACATGACTGTGAACCCACGGACTTTGGTTTTTTTATTGGGTACACGTATATTCTGAAAAAATGGAAATGGGTACACAACGTGTACCCTCGTGTACCCTCCACTACATCACTGTTCATAAATATATATCAATAATTTATGAAACTATTATTTTCTTAAAGATAATTTGAGTTATATATGAAATATTAATTTAATTTTTATCTTTTCAGAGTGTTCAAATTATCGAAGCATTTTTTGAAGTATATTTTATGATATAAGTTCAACATTTTTTTTTTTTATATTAATGATTTTTATTTTATTAGTAAATAGATAGGTTTTTTAAATCTTATCTTTTCTTTTTATTTATTAGTGAAAACATACAAATTTAAAAGACAAATATATAAATACTAAATAGTAAAATATTATGTATGTTGACAAAAAAAAATAAAAAATTAGAAAAATAAGCAATTTCTTTTAAAAATAGTTTTTCTTCCAAGATAAGACTTGATAATTTTATTTTTAACTTGTTTTTGTTATTTATGAATTATAATTTATGATAATAAATTGGTGTATAAACTTTGTAAACAAAAATTCTTTAAACTAAGTTACTTTTATTTTTACAAATTAATATAATCAGTGTTTTATTTATGAATTATTTTTTATCCTCTGGTTAATGAAAGATATAAATTAATTCCTGTATGTAATCTCAAAAAAATTAAGAAGTTATGTTATGATTTATATCACTCTGGAGGTATTATGTATTTCCATACTTATAGTTTTCTCAATCATTAAAATGATAAATTTTCTTAAATATTGATTTTTCCATTTTTTAAATTTAATCATAATTCTTTATTGATTAAAAATAGTTAAATGTATCTTAATAGATTGTACCACTAAATTAATTTACTTTTAATTAATATTTTAATCAGCTTAATCTAGAAAGATTTAATTGTTGTTTGGGATATGTTTGGTTGAATAGCAACTATTTTCTTTTTATTATCAAAAGTTATTATTTCTTATATTTAATAATATTCATTGTATCATTGTATTTTTCCTATAAATATTTTGTTATTATTTTTAATATTTTTCTTACAATCTAATTTAGAAATTTATTGACCTTTATGTTTGCATGTGCTTTTATCATAATTTATTTAATATGGAATTGTAATTCTTGTTAATCATAGCCAATTTTAAATATTTCAATTTAGCTTTATACATAACATTGTATAATGGTTTCAGTCAGAAAAGTGAGATATTTTAGTATTGTTCTAACTTCAATATTAAATTAAGTCTGGTGCAACAGTTGCAGTTGTTACTAGCAGCGTGGTTCTTTCAACAATTAACAATTAAATATGGGTTTTTTTTTTTTTTTTGGATGATCAAAATTATGTAAATTACAAGGTTTTTCTTTACAAATACTTGTGTAGTTATAACATTTTATTTATAATAATTTGAAATTTAGAAGTTGAATAAAGTTAAAATAATTGATTTTAAATTAACACTTACATACATTTGTAATACTATATATTTTTCTAATGAACTTAACATTTAATAATTGGAGATTTCAAACACATTTTTAGTATTAATAAAATATAAAGACGATAAAATCGTCTTGTTTTTGGAAAACCATTCTTTAAGTTGACTAATTAAATCATCATAGAATGGAATTGAAATTGTCAACAACAAAACAGTTAGATTTCTATATAGTACGCGTGTTGGTATAGAAATCTGTGATTATTATTATTAGACGCTATAATAATATTTTCATATGATATTTTGTTATAAAACTAAAAACAGTCAATGATTGATTGGAGTCATTTTTGACTGAAAATATTTATGTTATTATTAAAAATAAATAATTATTTTAAACATTTGTAAAATATTGAAGACATTTTTTGGGGGGGGGGTCCAGAAACCCTGGACCCCCCCAGATACGGCCTTGATTTAGAAGGATATTTTAAATAGCTTTATGAAAAAAAAAAAATTGGAAATGGCCTGTTTATATATATATAAAATATAATTAATGGATTAGTCTGTAAATCGATTTTCTACCTTATATGATTAGGACAAAACATTACGTAAGTAGTTAATAGGTGTATATATGTATTTTATTGCACTTAATGTGAAACAAACATGTGTTGGACAGCGTTAATATGAACTTACCATAAACAAAAAATTCGACTACTGGTTGCATTACCTAGTCAGTAATGATTATAGCCACGAAAATAATTGTTAGCTAATCAACCAGAATCGTAGTATTATGAAGTTAAAACTGGTTGGTGTTGTATACATACATATTTTATTATTAACATTGGGTCAAATAATTATATACTTGACACAATCATTCCAACGAGCTGTATAATTTAGTATGATTAATCATTAATTTTCCCTTTCCGACACGTGTGTCGTTTGTAACCGCGTGCCTAATAAAAAGTAACAACAATAACTGCACTGCATTCAATATGAATAAAATACCGACTTGCGCATCACGGCCACGTTCTCTATAGTAACTATTTGCTTGCGTGCGCTGTATTATTGCGTTCTACGTGTACCTGATCATCATTTTATGGGAAGCGGTTTTTCTTTCTTTTCACACGTGACATCTGTATTAGCACTGCGTTTGAACGAGACTTTCGGTTTCCGAATGTCCGTTTCGTAGACATTCGTTGTACCCGGCCGGCCGGCCGTACCTATCCACCACACCGACGGTTGTTCCGCGTGATCGACGTGAACATAATATTATTTTTTACACTCCGCGCGCACAAACGTGTACACCGCCGCCGTCGGTGAACGGTACGTGCCGGTATGAAAATAATTTAAAAGTCTCGTATTACACGACTATATGACGATTTGCGCGATAGTTGATGCAGCGACGGTTCCACCAAGCCTATTTTCACGCTATCGCACGTATACCTCACCAGCGTCTACATGCGTGTTCGTGTACATAAACCGTTACAATGCTGTTGCGAACCGCGTACGTGCTCTCGTCGGTGGAAATAGCCGGGTGTAATGTACGTTGTACGTGTTTTGGTACGGAGTTGGATCGACTTTCACCGGGACGCTGTGGATATACATTTTTGCACGCTTTACGCGCGAACTGTGTTACTGAAAATCTCGGTGTTCTAAATATAAGTGTACTTGAATGTGAATATATATATATATATATATATATATATATATATATATAAGAATATATACACAAGGTGTTCCTGAAATGCTCGGGGAAACTAGTATATGCGTACTCTCTGGAGTGGCCAAACGAATCTTCAACACCGGGTGGTTTTGTCCAATTATCTTTAGAACATTATTTCGAATCTAAAAATATGTGACATCGATTTTGGGCTTGTCGCGCATTTTTCACGTCCGAATCGTTAAGATTAAAAGATGTGGTATGACATGTCGATTTGAATCAGAACTCTAAAAGATAAACGATGGTGAAATTTATTTGTTGTTATTTCACGTATCTGATTAATTAACACAGTTTTCATTGAATTTCGAATAAGTTTTTGTTGAATTATAATCATAATGTTTATTTTAAAATAAAAATCGTGTCTACTAATAAGATATGCGAATCAACAAATAATAACACTTCACCATCGTTTATATTGCAGAGTTCTAATTCGATGTCACATATCAATTCGCGTGAGAAATTTGCAAGAAATATCTTACAAATATTCATTTTTTGATTCGAAATAATGTTCTAAAAATAATTCGATAAAACCTAGGTTTTGAAGATCGAAAAAATATTTCGAAAGATTCTTCATTTGACCACTCCAGAAAGTACGTGTATATTAGTTTCCTCTACCATTTCAGAAACACTATATATATATTCTAATTATACTAAATTTTTGGGGTCATATTATAATAAATGCGAGAAATGATTCGTGAGCCGACAATTATTATTACTCTGAATACTGTTAATTAAGTACTATTTTTCGCAATACCTTACCTACTATGATATTAATTGATGACACTACGATGTTGATTGATTACTCGGTTTACGTTCTGTTCGTAATTATACGGGTCCCAAGAGGTCTTAAGAGATTATGAATATGATTTTAATATTTATTACAAACAAATAATAATGGAAACAAACATAATAATTGGTACTTATCTACCAAAAACTTAAGATACTATACAACAAATGCTATATATAGGTGTATTACAGCATATACCTATTATGTTACTATAAATAAATTATAGAACAAAAATATGTACAAAAACTCTAAATTGAATACTGCTCATATATCAATTTATTATTCTCTAAATGCAGATTTTTTTTTTTTACATTATTTATGATGATACACAATATTAAATAGAAAATACGATTTTTGATTTTAAATGTCTTAATTCTAATGGGTTTTTTTGGCTACAATGAATGATTATTTTTATTTTATTTACAATAATGACTTAAGAAATCGTTCAAGAAAAATAAATTGATTTTGGTTTATAATACTAACAGATAAGAAGTAAAAACATTTCAACAACTTAATATATAATAATAACAATATTTACAAAGTATTTATATACACACAACATGGATAGTTGATGGTGTAGTTATTCGAAACAATTCAGTCTTCATTTTTTCTTGTATCCGTCATGAGAATCGTGATGTTCCTCGTGGTGATGATGGTGTTCTTCTATCGGGAACCATTCGGATATCCATACAGGCTTCCAAATTTTCTTCCATGCGGGAAGCCAAATTTCTTTCCAGTCTGGGATCCAAATTTGTTTCCAGTCTTCTTTCCATTCCAATTTTTTGTCCGGAATCCAGATTTCGTGTTTTTCTGTTTTCCATTCTTGTTTCCAGTCTTCTTTCCATTCAAGTTTCTTATCTTGGACCCAAATTTGTTTCTTTTCAGTGCGCCAAATTTGTTTCCAATCTTCCTTCCATGCTAATTTCTTGTCCTTTACCCAAATTTGTTTCTTAGCTGGTTTCCAGATCTGTACCCATTCTTCTTTCCATTCAAGTTTCTTGGAAGGCACCCAGATTTGCTTTTTCACTGTCTTCCAAACTTTTTTCCAGTGTGTCTTCCATACAACCTTCTTCTTCCACAAGTCATGTGCTTCGTATTCCCATCCGTGATAATCCTTACCGAGATGTTTAGATCCAGGTACATACGCTTTCACTAATTCTGGTACTGATATCTTGTGCCAGTCCGGCACTTGTTCTTCTTTCCATGCTGGCACTTCAATATGCTTCCACACTGGCTTGTACACTTTTTTCCAGTCGGGTACTTTAATTTCTTTCCAGGCCGGCACATCGATTGGTACCCACACTGGCTTGTAAATTTTTTTCCAGTCAGGTACTTGTATCTCTTTCCATGCTGGTACAGAAATCGGAACCCATATTGGTTTGTAGATCTTTTTCCAAACGGGAACGTGAACTTCTTTCCATCCTTGTTTCTTAGTCGGTACCCAAATTGGCTTGTAGATTTTTTTCCATGATGGCTTCCAGATCTGCTTCTTACCCGGCTTCCATGTCTTCACCCAATCAGGCTTCCAGATGAGTTTCTTTTTCCAATAACCTTTCAATGGTTCATGATGTTCATGATGCTCATGATGAACATGATGATCATCACCTCCATAACTATGATCAGGCACTCCAATACGACTTTGTGCTACTGCCGGTTGCCTGTACACAACAAAGATTCATGTCACTATATATCATAAAAAATAACATTATGTGAAATGTCATTGACGAACATCCATACATGCCAATCTTATGACTGTTTAATAATAGTTACATTTAGTGTGTAGTTTTGGTAACCAATTGTAGTACTGACGTGATGTCTTTTATTCGCTCGTGAAAACAGTCTTTTAAAAGTAACTATATTCAAGTCGTGTATACAAACGTGTTTTATTTTACAATAGATTTTCCGCGTTCGATTTCCTATCATTGTTTGAATGTTATGAAAATTCGGCGCCAAATAAATATATGTTGTCTGTCTGTTTATTGTCATCGTTCTCATGCTGAAAGTCATATGTGCACCGATTTTTCACAGTTTTCTCCGTACCCGATAATTTATTCAGCAAAAAATGTTTGTAATAATAATAATAATAATAATAATAAAACGATTATTAAAAAACAACATTATTAGGCTCATACAAATTTCACTTGAGTAAAAAATTAGGGCCGTTAGTAATGTTCTATTGCAGTTGCTGTTTTAACACAGGACAATTGAAAGACCCCCTACGGGATGATAATCTATGAATTATTCGAGAGGTGTTATGAAAGCAGATGTTAGTAGTATTTAACAGATATTATATTTTAATGTACGTACGCGTGCTCTGCGCATTTGGTGAAAACGCGTATAGGTGGTTATTGTTTCGCCTAACAGAATTTTTAACGAAAAATAATAATTCAATCCTATATATAGTGAAGTACCGATGAATATTGATGTAATTAGTATAAGAAAATTATCTCATAAAAAAAATGAAACGTATGATTGAAAAAAGCATTGAATTAAAAAGAAGTTGGTATGTTTATTAGATTTTGTGATAAATATTTAATTTTGAATACGAACTGTAAATACTTTAAGTAAACTGTTTTGAATTCGAATGATTAATTTTTTTTATAATATAATATGTGAAATTCCCAAAGTGAAACTCCTTATCACACATGTGGTGTATACCTAAAACGTAAGAAATCATCGTTTACTAAAAATAATAGATCGTTCCCATTAGTATATTTATCTTGTTTAGTTCTTATGTGTATTGTTAAAATTAAAAAAAAATATACAGTCAAATTACGTTAAATGTTTGAAAAACAGTCGATGTATTTACTTTTCTTACGTATCCCTTTCGATACGAATATTATAGTACTATGTCGTAAGACAAACCAAATGCGTGTGTCTAAAAGTATAGTATAGTTGTTTACAGTGTAAAGTCAAAAACAATTATGATTTTGTTTAATTACATTTAAAATGATATGTTTTCTTAAAGAATACTTACTGCAGACCGGGTTGTGCATAGTTTTCAAGTGACTTTTTCTCACGTTTGTTTGATGACCCATCATCATTTGGAAAGGCTACTTGCTGTTGTTGCAAGTCTACTGCCTTTGACCAAACGAGGGTGACGTTGACGAACAGCGCCAGGAACACCTGTATGAAAAAAAAAATAATAACAATAATAATATATATAATAATACATATAACTCTTGTTTAACAGTCGTAAATATATATTTTACTGCTTTCACTGGTTATAGGAGAAAAATATACGTATCAATATATATTTCAACTCCTTCAGTAGGAGGTAGTTTTTAATATCCGGAAATCACGACTAAAAGTTGAACTCGACTTTCACTTGCATTACAAAACTCACGCAGCAGCAGCAGCTGCCGCGTGATCTATTTATGTTGTCTTTTCCCTCCAAAATATCGTGCACGTAAATAGTCTTCAATCGCGTCGAAGAAAAAACTCCAAAATTCATACTCATATATTTATATGTGTGTGTGCATGTTATTTACTCAACTACCTACGTATGTTTTTTTTTTTTTTTGGAAATTCTTATCATTTAATATTGTAATGTATGAATATATTTTAAATATTATTTAATATTGTTGTGTTGCACTCGAACATAATACTATTTGTAATAACATTCACATAAAATCGTAGGCGCATGTGCGTAGTTTTGTGGTGTTTATTCATTAAACACAAACATATTCGGTTTATGTGATATTATTAATATTATATGCCGTAACTAGTGAAAGCATCAAGCGAAAAGAAGCGCAATTTTACTTGTTTTCTCAATGTCGCCCTATATTTAATGCGTAATAATTAACGTTTTTATTACATAGTGTATCGGCGGTAAATGCGATTCGACATTCCAATATCGGCGAAAGTGCATTAAATACGTAATATATTTATTATCCCTTGAAAACACGATGGGTTGTTAATGTGATTATTTACTCCAGTAAACGAGTTATTATATTTACGAGGACCACGTGAATACGTATTGCAGTCGTTAAAAATAATAAATATACACATTTGTTTAAATGATGAAAACGTATTTTCAAAGTTTAAAATAATTTATAATTAAATTAAATAACAGACCCGTTAAATGTATAAAAATGAAAAAAATTAGCCAGAAAACTATGTTATGAAAAATAAATTATAATTTATTAATTTTTTTATTTCTACAAAATAGTAAACTATTATTGCCGTATCGACTTGTTTTTAATATTTTATTATCGTTATTATACATTTTAGGTAAAATATTAAAACGTCCAATGATTTCTTTAAATATTAAAAATTACGAAAATTGCCACTAAACGCAGTGTTGATCTTAAACAATACTATTCGTATTCGAATATTGATTTTAACGGCGTAAAACAGAGTTATACAATTATTACTTATTACCATAGGCGAAACTACAAGTCAGGCTAATACTAACGAAAAATATGTATATATTATATATTTTAATAATTATTTAGGCATTATAAATAATATATTTGTGTATATAAACGTATACATTTGTACGTTTCATATAATACTATAATATAATATAGTATATAGATACAATTGGTACAAATAAGGATTATAATTGAACATAATAAGTTTATTCTATGTATTCGAATAATCGGTTTTATTAGTTATTGTTTAATTTAGACATTTGACGTTTATTGATATAATTATATTATAAGAAATAATAGTTAATTTTACGTAATAATACTTTTTATATTTTTCATTAGGCCCGACCTAATAAAAGTGTCTAGTTTCGCTTATGCTTATTACCACGTGTGTCGTATAATTGAAATAAGTTTGAATAACAAGTTTTATACTGATAACAGAGTGTATTTGTATTTGGATTATATACGAAGGTGTCCGGTTCCGGTATTATAATTTACAGACATGCATTGGTTTAATAATGTATAAAGTTTGAGAGAAATATATGAACACGATTCCAGGAGGTTTTTTTTGAATAGATTATTTGCACCGTTGGAAAATCTTATATGTTATAATATGTTATATTCTACACTTCCGAGTATGTGGTTTTCGAGATGAACTTGAGATAGAAACCAGTCAACCTAAAATTACATGTGCCATCTTCAAAATTAATTATAAATAATGTTTGTGATCACGTTTCATCCAGCATTAATTGCTCCCGTCCAGAGTCATCAACTTATGTAAGCGCTTACTAATGCGTTTCCAATATACTACGGATTATGAGCTAAAATCAATCGTTATAATTAAATTTTTACTATGCAGTTTCTATATAATGAATTTATTAAAATAACTAATTCTTTGAACTCATTGTAGCTATAAAAATACATTTTTGGTTTGATTTTGTACAGAATTTTTAGCAAAAGAAAATATATCTACTTTTGATCTTGAAATGAATGTTCTCTTGAATGCAATTTCTTCGATAAAATCAGAGATAAATATGTTTGTTGAGTCTTAATTAGAAATTATAGTGATTTACGTGGATATTATATTGTGTTGTGCGAAATTGATTTTATTATATTATATTTTTTAGATTTTACAATCAAGCGTATTATTACTGCTTTTAGAACAAGTAAATAGGTACGTGTTACAAGAATTTAATTTCATAATGCATTGAGCGCAGAAGTTGAAATCGAGTTTAATGATGATGGTATTATAATAAAGTGAATATTTTTGTGTTCAATAAAAACGTAATAAAGAGAACCACTATTACAACCGTAGTCTCCGGAAGCATGGGAAAGCGCGTGAGAATGGCGTACACGTTGTTGTCTGCGAAGTTGCAAACGATAAAATTATTTGAAATAAAAACACTATTGTCTCGAACACCGGTAAAATAAAAAACTTAAAACTAAAATTAGACAGTACTTTTATTATACAATAAATATTATATATGACTTCAAGTGTTTCCGAAAATAGTTGTCTACACGAAGATCACTTGGAAGGAAAATATTGTAAATTATTATAGTATAGTGACCTAAAATGAAATAGGAATGATATTTATCAAAACTTAGATGTAAATTACTTTATAATATATTATAGATTTATTTCTAGATTTATTATCTAGACGAGAATAATAATGAACTAACAATATTGATAATAGTTACTAACTAATTTTTTTACAATGTATAAAAATACAATACCAGAAATTATTTTATTTTTAAAAATAAAAACAAACATATAACTTCCGTAACGTCCAAACAGATGCTTTAAAGTTGTTAAAATTTGACGCACGATTTTTAATAATTGTCTTTAAATGTTAAAGCGTATTATAAATATTTACACTGCGATGTTATTATTCATAGAAAAAAAAAAAAAAACTCGTGATTATTGTAAATAAAAACACGATGTTATGATATTGATTTCACACAACACGAAAAAAAAAAAATCGAAAAACGTTTGCGAAATGATGTGAAACATTTTTAAACACTAATCGTTAAAAATAAATAAATATAAATATATATATATATATATATATAAATAAATCAATTTTTTACTAACCACTATTTGGTGGCGATCCATAATGTGTGTGGATTTTTTTCTACGTGTGTTTACTTGCGAGCCACCACGATGTCTGCAAGTCCGTTGACGATTGACATGTTTTTGCCGTCCTCCGGAGCGTTTTATATATGAGTTAGCTGATCACCTAGCCGCAAGGTCGTTTGTCCCTACTATCCTCCCCCAAAAAAAAAACAACGCTCGTACTTTCTTCCTGCCGTCGCCGCGGAAGGCGAATGACTTTCACGCGAGTCCCGAGAGACTTGAACGCCGCCTAACCCGCGAGCGCGTCCCGTACACGTACAGTCATATTATTACCTATACTCGCGTTTTGATGTAATAGTCGTATTGACGCGATCGGCAAAACGCACGTGACACCGACGGCAGCTTAAATTCCGCTTGTCCAAAGACGATATTTTCGCCATCAGTTCTCTCCGTATTATCTGCGCGAGAAGTGTTCATGCGTTTTCAAAGTGTGTGCACATATTGATACAATGTCACGTACGCGCGTATTTCAACGAAAAAAATTAAGTTATTCCCGCTGCGCGTGTACAACACCGCGTACATCGGATCTATCACCGCATTAACTACATTTTTAACGTAGAAATATCAATATCGTCTTATGCAGTATTTTAATTTTTAAAACAGTGTTTTCTAACAGTTTTTAGTTTATATGTATTTTATATAATATACATATTACTTATTTCGCTAAATTTTCATCCGTAGTAAATAGTTTTATTTTCTTAGTGCTATAATTGCAATATTGTTTTCATTTTGAATCTGTTAAATTTAACTAAAAGTGTATATATGCATACGTAGATAAAAGTTAAAATATTTTTCTGGACTGGTCAATTTATTGTCGTGTACTTCGAATTTTCAAATAAATAATACGCACGTCAAAGATTACGATTTAAAAATGTTTGACAGCAACGGAAAGTCAACGTTATTTTAACGATTATTATTGATTATATTGACTACCCCGTGTATAGTCTTATGTATCTAGCTGTAAAGAATTTATAATACAATCATACTCGTACGTAAATATAAGTATTCATTTCTTATTCAATTTCTTCTATCGAAATAAACAATTCTTATCTGGGTGTTTTATTTATCATTAATTTTTTTTGTTCGACCCTTGTTTTCGTTACACTTTAATTTTAAGTGATTATGTTACATATTATTAATGTTGCTTGTTGAATAAATTTAAAAATTAATTCGTGTGAATAAAATGAATATGAAGAGATAATAAATAATAGATAATACACATGTGAATAGAATAGATTCGTTTTTCTCTATGAGGTTCTCTAACATTTTTTTTTTTTTTTTAGATACTTTTACATTTGATAATTTTAAATAAAATATAATATTAACAATTGAGTTAAGTTTCACTCACAAAAAGATATTATGTTGTAAAATTTTTATATTCTTGTTAGAGATAAAATTTATCAGTTACATTTAGTTTTGTTAAATGTCATTTAATAGTAATTTTTGAAATGCAAGAAATTTGTTTTAATTCTATCTGTATAGTTAAACAGTTAATCATTAACTTTTATGATATATAATAATAGATACAAAATAATTATAAGTTAAAATTATGAAATATTGGAGAGTGATTATTTTGTAGAATTTAATAATAAAGCACTAAAAACAATTTCCATCAATATATAAAACAATTTAGTGAATTCTAAATGTTTACGATTGCATATCAAATTTAAACATTTAGTTATTTTTATACATACATACATACATACATACATAAGATAGGCATCTATCTTCATTTTATAATTTTATGTTATACATGGTTTGAAGCTTCAGTATTTAAATAGTATACCTATAACAAATGGTCGATACTAACTGCTGATATTTTTTTATTAAACCTCAAGTATAATTATAAGACTGGCTAGGCTTTTATAATTTTAGCAAAATTGTTTGTTTTATTTTTTAATTAAATATACAATCGTCAAAATACGAGTATGTACTTAGAACGGACGATCATTCAAACATTGCTAGTGTATACCAAAGTTACATAAGCGGATTTTGTGTTAAAGAAAAAAATATATAAAATATTTACTATGAAGTAAAAAATAACTAAATTTGGTTTTGAAAAAAAACCATCAACCAATATTATTAATGTTAATTGTTGTAATTTTAACTGTATAATGCTCCAGTGTTCCTTTTTTAATAGAGAAATATTTATTAAAACCATTTTTTTTCCTTTTTTAATTTGCCTTTTATATTTTATGAATTTGAAATATTGTAGTACCTTCTTGGAAACTATCATATTTTCATTTATGTATTATACACGCTTTATACATGTATTTGATTTTTAATACTTAATATTATAAGAAATGGTATTATACTATGTAATACAATAAAGAATTTATATAGTATTTAATTATATGTTAAAAATAAAAAAAATATGTTGAACTTATGATTATTATCAGAAATAAAATGTCAGTAAAATTGTTCCAGTCAAAATATTTTAACGTTTGCTGCAACATATTGTATAACGGTATAAATTTTTATATCTCTTCTCATATCATTTTTTAGCGAATTTTTAGCATCTAAAATCATTAAGTGGTTATACTTGATTCAATTTTTTTACATTTGAAAAACTATTTTCCTTTTAATAATGAATATTTGATTTAGCGGATGATATTTGATTAAATTTTGTAGTCATTGATCACAAAGTAGTTATTTCAATATTTCTGCAGATTTATTGTTTAAACAAGTTTCACTTATTTCACTCTCTATTTTCAATGAAATGTAAGTGATAAAAACGATGATGATACGTGTTTTATTTATTTTTATTATTGAATTCCGCGAATATTCGTTTGTTCGAGAAAATCAGTTATAATATTTTAAAAAACATCTGCATCACTTCGATCAACTACGATGTTAACGTAATAACTGTGTAGTTCTAATCTAACGATTTTACATGTGGTTACTTGCTATTGAGAATATTTTGTAGTTGGTCACACAATTAAAATGCCATTTAAAGTAAATATTTAGTAAAATTAATCAATATACATTTTATTTCAGTTATATTAACTTAAGGTGATAAAATAGTAAAACAAGTTATGACTTGTGGTATACATTGATTAATTGATTAGTTAGAAATAAAATAATAAACATTTTTAATGGACATTATATGTATATATTATATATATTATTTACATTTGATTGTAAAATCAATTATTCAAAATGATTAAATATTTTTTTATTTTCAAAAGCTTAACTAACTAATATGCGTCTTCAACATTTTGTTCTTCAAATATTTAACAGATAAATATGATATATTATATTAATGAAAAGTACCATAATTCGCATATTTAATGCTTAACTTAAACTATTAATTTTTCTTTTTAGTAAATTCAAATCAGTACCGTATTACAGGGTTTAATTTATCGATTATTAAATTTAGACATTTATATTGATATCATTAATTAAAAGAATGATTCCTAATACTCAAAATACTTTTTTTTGTAATTTATACGGAGCGGATATTTATTAGTTATAAATAATTAAGTTAATATAATGCTCTGTGGGTATATGTTAATTTAGAACATCAGTTTCTGTTTAATAAATCTTTCTGGAAACTAATAAATATTACGTATATTCACGGTTGAAATAGTACTAAAATAAAATTATTAACCATGAGAATAAACGTTAAACGTTAAACCAGCATATATAGTAAAAAATACAACTCAAATAGCTTAGGCGTTTTTACTATAGTCACTCTATAAATGTTATTTAAATATAAATATATTATATACATGTAATATAAATTTAAAAAATAGTTGTAATTATAAATTATTATTTATTAAAACCGTTTGGTTGGAATTGACTTGAAAAACAGTAATAACAATTAAGTCTCACTGTACTTGTCGTTCAAAAATTTTGTCAAGCTTTGATATTTAAAACTCGGAAGCATGATTATCTTTTCAGATTGACGTACTTTATGTTGAGCATAAAAATATCGATCAGTCCGATCGAAAAGATGGTGGTTGTGTTCACTTAGAAGTGCCATCGTACGATGTAGCAGATTTTTTGACTATATATAACAGGGATGGTCAACCATTTTTTGGCAAAGTGCCAAAGTTCAAGTCAAAGTTTTTAAAATCATTCACGCGCTCGAAGGACATTATATTTTCTTACAATAAAAATAAAATTACAGATTTATTATATTTATTGAGTAGGTACATATATTTTTGTAATTTTATAAATTATGTTTTATTAAATCCTTAAATTTGATTTTATATATTTAATTATTTTATGCTATTTCTTAGCGGTTAAAAATTTGACACTAGGAGCGTACTTTATAATTTTTAGTGAAAAGAAAAAAGCAATAATTGTTTCATCGATCAAAGCATTTCTTTCATTTGTTTTAATTAATTTCGTTATGATGAATAAACTTTCATCAGTATAAGTTTACGAAATAATTGAAAGTATAGGAAATATTATAATTTGAAAATATATTCAATTTGTTTCTTCGCATTTTTTATAACTAAAATTTTATAAATATCATAATTTTTTTTGCGTATATTTTTAAAAAATTTAAATTTTTTTAGTGTGCCATTGAAAATTGGTCAACATCTTACTATTGGCACACGTGCCAATAGTCTCGTCACTCCAGTATATAACATTTACAATAATTGTTGGAGAAAATTAAATACAAATACTAAAAAATGCAAAGAATCTTAACAGCTAGACATGAAGTTCTGCATTAAATATCATTTTTGTTTTTAGTAATTTCACGTTATTGATTATTATTATAGTATACGTCCAATAAGGATTAATTGAGAATTAAATATTTAAATATGAGCTATTAATTAATAACTGTACTCTTATAAATAAAAATAAAATCTTATTTTGAATAGTGAAAAAATTGCAAGAATTTTAAAATATTAATCTAGTAGCTGGAACCGGTACATAATTCTGGTTTTCTGATGTTATGAAAAACTTTAATTATTTTTTAGTAGTAGCCATAAATAATAAATTTTTTTTTATTTATAATAAAGATATTTTTGTGTTTCATGTTTTGAGAGTATTTTTTAGGCAAGCTTAATAACAAAAAAATATTTATTATCTATTTCAGAATATTTGAAGATT